CAGTGTTGAATTTAAAATCTAATTAAACTGAAATTGTAAGACAGAAGACTGCCGCATAGGCAATTTGAATTTGGATATAAGAGTTGGACTGACCTAATTTGTATATTTTTTACACAAACATATACATATTTTACTATATATTTATTGCCTATGGTTATTTGCTTTTCAGTTTACTCCCACCAACAATTCTCTCTCAATATTTGTTTATTTTTTTCATATGGACCCAAAACGATAAGAGCTTTCTCTTTTGTCTTCGTTTTGGTTTTTTCGTCTTCGTCTTCATCTTCATCTTAATCTTCATCAGTGCAAGAAAACCCTCAGCTTCCATATTATAACTTTTTAGATATGGATTCTCAATATGAAGTTTCTTCTTCTCCAAGCAACCTTAATTCAAGAAAACGCTTGTTTTCCCATACCTCTAGCGGTGAAGTAGAACATCATCAAGAGCTGCTCGTTCTTGATCTTTCATTAGGGCCACCATGTAGCCCTAGCCCTATCCATAACCCTAACCCGATGGAGGTGCCGGCCGACCCTATTCCTTATCAACATCGGTCTAGAAGAAACCCGATTTGGAAACTCAAACAAGGAAAAAGTGAAACCATAGGTGCACCATTTCCATGGGCTACAACACGACGAGCCACGGTTCACCATCTTAACCATCTTTTATCTCAAAACATCCATACCATTAGTGGTGAAGTTGAGTGCAAAGGGTGCCAAGAAAGACACACGACCGAATACAACCATGGTTTTCAGAACCAGACCGGTTAGCGAACCGGCCATGCTACCGGTTCACTGGTTCAACCGGTCGAATCGGTCCGACCGATCGGAAGAACCAGACGACGTCATAATTATTTAAAAAATTAAATAAAAATACCATAAAATCAAGTTGATTCAAATTAACTACAACATAATATTTAAGGTAAAACATATTAAATAATAAATATAATTATATAACTATAATTAAAAAATAAATTTGGGGCTAAAAAATCATAACAAAATGATATTGTTTGGTTTAATTTTTAAAAAAAAAACAATCTCACATAGCTAAGAAACATGGAAGAGCATCCCAAAAGTCTAAAGAGTAAAAATATGAGAACAAAACAATCTCACATTGCTAAGAAACATAGAATACCATCACAACTAACTTCTATAAATAATAGAGGTAATTTGGCATTCAAAATCATGGAGCCCTTTGGTGAGCATTGAGTGAACTATTCTTTCACTTCAATCAAACTCGAATTTTAGGCTTCAATTGAGCTTCTAATTTTTTTTTTAGTTCAAGCCTTTTTGAGTTCAAGTTTTAATATTATATTTCGAGTTCGAGTTGAACTTGATAATTTTTAACTTGTGAGTTTGAGTGGAGTTGAACTTACTTTTAAAGTTTTCAAGTTCGAGTCGAGCTCAGCAATACTCAAGTTTGACTTCGCTCGGGTTCCCGGTTGAACTGGCCGGTCCGGTCCGGTTTTCAAAACAATGAATACAACTTGATGGAAAAATTCAATGAGGTTAAAGATTTCGTATTTGCCAACATATTGACGATGAACGATCGAGCACCGGATTGTTGGATGCATCCGAGGCTCGATAATTGCGAGACTTGTGGGAGCGATATGAGACCGATTATTGCGAAGAAAAGGGATATCAATTGGCTGTTTTTGCTGTTGGGACAAAAGCTGGGATGTTGCAGACTCTCGGAACTGAAGTACTTTTGCGAAGAATCGACTTCTTTATCTTGCTTACATTGCACTATGCAAACAATTATGTCCAGATTGACGGTTTGATTTTTGATAGAATTTTTTTTATAATTATTACTATTAATTCATGAATTTATTAATTTAGATAGAATATAATAAAGATTTAATTGGTTTGATTTTTGCAAGCATTCCATGTTTTTAATATGTATATATATGTGTGTCATAAAATCAACAATATTTTGTAAAATATTAATAAAAATAAAAAAAAAATATGAAAAGGTTTAATTGGTTGAACCGTTTGTTTTTTCTTATTTTCTTAAAAATTTTCATAGCAATTTAACTTTTATTTTTTTATTATATATTATCAAAATAATCGATTAATATGACTCGATTCGGACAATACTAAAAATAATAATAATATAAAACTAATAAGAAAAAAATATTAAGCATGTAATGTCCATATATTAATGATTCCATTGAAAGAGAAAAAACAGTTGTTTGTAGATATTATGATTTAGTAAATTAATGATAAAAAGTCGCTAAGCATGAGATTCTTTGAATTTGCTTTGAAATATATAAAAAATTTGAAGTCAGTAAAACTCAAAATAAGATTTTATTTAGTCAAATATTTACTTAAAAGAATATCCAAACTAACATTGCATGAATATTTTCCACTTTAAAAAGAATCAAATAGAATAATATTAATCCCCAGAAAAACTCCTTAAAATTCTCTTATTATATAATTTTGTTTAGGGACATATTCCTTTCTCTTTGAATTTCAGTTTGGCACTTTAGGGTTAAGAAAAATTACATAAATCTGTTAAGAACATCTCCTTAACTTTGTCTTCTTCTATTTTGTTTTCACTCTTTCAAGCTAAAATTTCTCTTCTTCTTTCTCTTTCATTTCGATTCATTTCGACATGGATGACATGAACTCTTCTCATTTTCAAAGTTCTGATACTGATGGCGACTTCGACATGGATAACATGAACTTTTCTCATATTCCAAGTTCTCATACTAATGGCGAAGAAGATACCGGGAGTTTGCTAACTCTAAGATTATCACTAGGCCCTACATCATCGATGACGATGTAGTCGTCAAAGCTAAAATCAACATCACTGCCGTCGTCATCAGAGAAACAAATCATTCAATTACCACAGCCGCCGCCACCATTGTCACACGATCCGGTTGTACTACCGATTGTCCCAATACCACAACCATCACCATTACCGATTTACTCGGACCGCGAAGCTCATACCACACTTAACCCGAACAACAATGTGGTTTCTCGAGAAGTTGTGAGTCATTCGCGTCCCCCTCGTAACCGTAGAAAGTCCTCTCAGACCGCAAGATAAGGCACGACCGAAACCATCCCACGACCGTTCCCTTGGGCCACAAGCAAGCGTGCCACAGTCCATTCCCTTGATTATCTCTTGTCACACAACATAACCACTATTAGTGGTGAAGTTCAATGTAAGAGATGTGACAGGATCTACACGATCGAATACGATTTGCAGCAGAAATTTCGAGAGATATCGGATTTCATAAGAGAAAACATGTTTCTTTGCATGACCGAGCACCATCGGAATGAACGAGTCCGAATCTGCCAAGCTGTGAAACGTGTGGTAGTCCCGTCAAGCCGGTCGTTACGAAGAAAAGATCGATAAATTGGCTGTTCTTGCTGTTGGGGAAGATGCTGGGGTGCTGCAAGCTTTCGCACTTGAAGTATTTTTGCAAGCATACCTGTAATCATAAGACGGGTGCTAAAGATCGAGTGCTTTATCTCACTTATGTGGAATTGTGCAAGCAATTGGATCCCACCGGACCTTTTGATATTTGATCTTCTTTTCCATTTTCCATTTTCTTATTTCTTAGATTACTCATTCTGTCTTCTGTTTTACTAATGTTAAGACTTTGCTTTGTTATGATGTTATCTTCCATGGTTTAGTAGCTTTCACTTTTAATGGTATAATTTCAATTATTTTTACATATTTTGCAGCTTAGAATTACCAACTATTCAATATTATATGTATTAGAATATATCTGTCATGTTATCTTATTTAATTTGCTTCTCTCTGAACAATTATTTAAAAAAATTCTAACATAACAAAATAATGATGTGAAAATAATGATCAAATGAGATATTTAAAAAGAATACGTATTTAAATTACGCAAATACAATAAAAATAAATAATTTTTTAAATATATACAAATTTATAAGATTTCAAACATAACAAATAATATCAACTAGACAAATTAACATCCAATGACTTACAATTAACCCTTACTTCATTAAGGTTTCTTAATTTTTTAATTAAAAAATAATTAAAATTTTATTAAATTCATACAATTTTAATTTATAATCGATCGTATAGGACATGTCTCTTTAAAAGAAAATTTAAGAAAATTCATATAAATAGATGATTCATAGTGTTCTTCAAATTATATATATATAAAAATCAATCTTCCATAATAAGAGTAAGAATAGTGAATTTGCTGATTTTGTTTATCAAAGAAAATTTTAACTTTGTTAAACAAATATTAACATTTCCGGTAGCGTCTTTCTTTAGCAGTATATTAAAGCTGCCGTACAGCAGAACTACTCGAAATGGGGATGTCTAAAGTAAGGTAGTCTTAATATACGACTAAGGAAATACGCTACCGGAAATGATAATATTTTTTTAACATTTCCGGTAAAGCGATACTTAAAACATTATTTTTTTTCTACAGAAAATGTTAATATTGGGTTTTTACCGGAAATTAGGTAGCGAAATTAATATTTTCGGTAAAAAAATAATGTTTTTGATAGCATTTTACCGAAAATGTTAAAAAATATTAATATTTATGATAACGTCTTTCCTTAACCGTATATTAAAACTGTCGTAGAGCATAACTACCCGAAATAGTAAGCTCGACAAGCATGCAGACTTCCGGTTTCATTATGTGCGCTGTTCTGCAGATGGTACGGCGAATGCACTCGCTCGCTATGCTTTAATAATGTCTTCACCATTAAAGTTAGATACCGACATCCCATCTTGTATTTGTGACATTGTTATTTCCGACACCATTTATGGTTAATGGATAAAAGTTTATTTTCAAATAGAAAAAATATACATAATCTCAAACAAATATATACAATTTGATATAACTCGAATTTAATAAATTTAACTTGACTCGAAAAAAATAAAATAAATTTTAAATGATAAAATGATACTTATATACTAGACTAACCCAATTTTTTTTTCACTGGACAAACGCTCACCCTACTTGTACGCATACAACATATCCAATTTTTCTGATAATTCTAGCTGTGTTGTAAAGTTTCAGAATTTATTATACATCCATGAAGTGATAATCCCGTCATTTTCGTATATATGAACTCACTAAACCAAAAGCATCTTTACTATCCTGCCATTACCTCGGTTTAGGCCTGTAAACGAATCGAACGCACACGAACAGAGGTATATTCATGTTCGTTCATTTAATAAATAAACAAACACGAACATAAACGAACAAATTTTTTTGTTCATGTTCGTTTATTAAGGAATATAACTTGTTCATGTTCGTTCAATTAATAAATAAACAAAAATAAACGAACACGAACATAAATGAACACGAACATAAACGTTGGAGACCCTACATTCCATTGTTCTTTCATGAAAAATAGTCGACAATGCAAATCAACCAAATCTACAGTGATAAATAGCGTAAGAGCTTATTAGCAGTGATGAAATGTTTGAAGATATCAAATATTTCGATCGATCTTTTAAAGATATTAAATGATTCACACGACTTTAATTTAACGCTATAACATTTATCTTAATGGTCCATGATTACATATGAACAATCATTTTCCACTACGTTATTCTAATAAATTCACCGGCTAAAAATTTTGTGACATTAATGTCAGACTTTAGTGAGGTTTGTTAATAATGGTTCTTTCCATTGGCAGAATAGAAAATTTAACAGCATAAAGATTTCGAACGGAACAAATTGGACTACAAGGCAATAACATAGATCTGAAATCCCTTCGATGTTACATATCGTAACTGATATTATCGCTAAACCACCATTCAAAATTTTAACGTACTTAAAGCCTACTTCACAACTAAAGGTCACACAAGAACTATGAAAACAAAAGTTCATTATCAAAGTGTATTTTCTACTTATTAATGGGTTCTTCCTAGAAAACCCATTACTTTCGCTATTACTATTTTTCAGAAATTGCATAGAAACTTTTGTTTTGTTTTCTGACAAATTCTATATATTTTTCTCTTTACTGATGCTCATATACTTCCGATTGTTACATTTATATTCCCATCTATTTCTAGAAAGAAGTATGATGTTTTCTTGAGTTTTAGATGTGAAGATACCCGCAATAACTTTACATATCAACTATTAAGCCAAATAAAACAAAGAAAGAGATGAAAACAGACCTGTAAAAATTCAGATTGCACTATAATATAACTTGTTTTGAAGCTTTCAGCGATCGTCTCCACTCTCTAGTAAACACTAGGATTTGGGGAAAAAAGGGGAAAATGAACATAGGTGCGAAATGCCTCACGGGTTAACATATTGGATTTAATCTCCAAATAAAATTAGGTTAATTATGGAGTTGGTCATCACAATATCAGATTAATTAATATTTTTAAAATACTTACTGTCGTGGCCGTCTTTCGGTTGGGCCCCGGAATTGGGCTTCGACTTGGAAAATGTGGATTGGAGTCGCCACCGACCATTTTAAAACGAATTTAGGTGGGTCGGACACCATCTTACCTGATCTGCGTTGTACCAGAAACGTGTCGGGTTCGGGAGTCGGTTACGGTCAAGGAATGACTAGCACTCTTGACCCGCCCTTTCGGTACCAATTAATTTTCCGGTTATCTTTAATCGCGAAAATTAAAAAATTTAAATTCAAATTTAAAAATCAGATTCTAATTACTTACCTTTGAATGGTTGAGATTTTTACTGAAAAATGCAAAAAAATGTTAGATAGAAAGAATAAATAAATAAAAATGATATATATATATATATATATATATATATATATATATATATATATATATATATATAATGGTACTAAAAGAAATAAACCAAAGGAAGAAAAATAATAATAATAAAATTTATACTAAAGAAATAAAATAAAATAAAAAATATATATAAATAATAAAGAAGTTTTAAATAGAAAAAAATATTTTAAAAGTAAAAATGAAAAAAATATGAGAAAAAATATAAATAATGATTAAAAAAAGCATGATAATAATAATAAATAAAATAAAATAAGAATTTAGGAATTAAATTGCAAAAAATGTGAAATGTAAATGGGGACGGAATTGAATCAATCGAAAATTCAGTGGCCAAATTACAATTGGTGACTGAATTGCAAAGCGAATCAAAGTATGAGGGACTACGGAGAGGATTTAAAAATCCTTTATTTGCACTCCGGTCCTCCGTATATAAATGCCCAAAAACACTTCTATTCCCTTTATTCTCACCATATATCAGAAAACCTATCTCTCTCAACTCTCAAAGCTCTCTCAAACCTTGATGGAAACACGACCGCCACTCCGGTCACCAACTGCCGATTGTCGACGCAGTCGAACGGCGACCAGTAAAACCTAGCCCTCAGCAAAATACTCCCCTTAACCTGGTACACCCAAATCCAAGACCCAAAACACCAAAAGCCACCCCTTTTGGCGTAGATCTAGCGAAAACCCTTTCGGGTTTTACCTTTCCGGCGACTTCTCGCTTTTCTGATGGCCTCTTTGATACGTGCTCCGATGTTTTTTCTTTGCTCTGCTTTTGGTTTTGGCTTGTTGTGTTGTTCAATGATTTACTGTTTGTCGATTTTCTTTGGGTTCTCTGTTCGGTTGTTGGTGTATTTGGCTATCTTGTTTGTGGTCTTTGGCTTACTATTTGTTTCTGTTGTGGGTTTGCTGGTTTTGTTTACTATGAACTGTTGTTGGTATTTTGGTTGTTGGCCGATTGTTTTTCTCAGTATACTGTTGTTCCCCCCCGTTTGGTACCCCTGTTGTCACTGTGGTGGGATATTTATACCCACCCCACCGGTGGTCTGCTCCGATGATAACGGTAACGTGCTCGTGGTTAGTTGGCTGGGGATTTCGAGATGGGTCAATCCCGATCTCCTCGGCCGGAAATCTCGATGGCCGGTGTAACTGACCCTTGACCTCCTTGGCTTACGCGGCGCCTGTTGAACATCTGAAAACCCTAACTTGAACTCTGGGCTAGATCAGACCCAAACGTGACTGGACCCGTTGGACTCTCTTGGACCTGGACAAAAACGAAAAAAATAAGCAAAATTAATAAATAATTAATAAAGCAAGTAAATAGAAATAATAATAATAATAATACTATATAATATATATTTCAAAAAAATATTTTTAAACAATATTATATTTTTTAAAAAAAGTTTTCAAACCTATACATTATATAGTTTTCAAAATGTTTTAAAAATATTATATAGGTTTTCAAAAAATATTTTTAAAACTATATATTATATAATTTTTCAAAATATGTTTTTTTAAACTATATATTATATAATTTCAAAAATGTTTTTAAAACTATATACTATATAAGTTTTCAAAATTATTTTAAAAACTATATAATATATACATGTTTTCAAAATATTTTCAAAACTATATATTATATATTTTAAAAATATTTTCAAAAACTATATAATATATAAATTTTCGAAAATCGTTTTCTGGAAATTATATATTATATTTCGTCAAAAACATTTTCACAAACTATATTACTATATAGATATATAATAAATATATATATCTATAGAACAAAATAACTCCGGGCGAAAATGAGTGTCTACACTTACAAATTGGTCATCAAAATTGATTTAAGAAGATTGGGTTAAACATAAATGAATGAACATAAACGAACATAACCGAATGTTTACGAACGTAAATGAACGAACGAGACCTATGTTCATGTTCGTTCGTTTAATTAAACGAACACAAAATTTTGTTCATGTTCGTTTATTTAATAAATAAACGCACATAAACGAACTTCCCGCCGCACGGTTCATGAACGGTTCGCTGAACGTTCAGTTCATTTACAATCCTACCTCGGCTGCTAGTTCATCTACCAACAGTTTCTCAATTTCCCTACATATTACATCAATATCCTCCCTCGACTCGAGCCATTGCCATTCCCCTGCAAGCACCATCTTTCCGGCAACCGTATGCAGTTCCATGTTTTGCATCACTAGAGACTTACGCAGGTGTTCTTTAAGCTCGTCGGTGTTCCATTTCCAAACGATTTTTCTTGCAGGCTTCATACTTGGATGTAGGTGTTGGTCCATATATTGCTGATACATCTCTAGTAGCTTTGAATTGATCATATCGAACATCAACCGCCTTTCCGCCCTCGACCAAGGATTTAGAATGCGATATTTTTTCTCGAGTTGTTCAAATATTAAAGGATTCACTGGACATTCTGGAGAATTCCATGTTGCTAAGAATGTATCTGGGTCGACTCCGTTAATTCCAGAATCGACCAAGATGTCAACCATGTACATAGATTCCCAATTCTCCTCGTCCCTGGGTATCCCTTGGTACTCGGCAAACCCGACAGATGCTTCATCACCATCATCGTCACTCGAAAGAAGCATGCTTCCCTCTTGATACGCCTCGGATTCTAGTTTTAATAGTTGAAGTTGCATCCGAAGTCCTGAAAACATAAACAGAACTAGAAGTTGAACAGAATAGATAGAATCTCATGCAATGTACATTTAGAAACAGAATGTTTCATGCAGCATAAGTATCGGATGAACTTATAAGAGTGTAATAATGACAATCTATAAGGCTATAGATAAAGGTATTGAAACTACAACTGCCACTAATTACCATGGAGATCAGCACTGATACTCTCGAAGCATTCGGAACCGGATGAAAAATCCTCCGTGAAAGGAGCTTCCGTAATCGAAACCGGACTGGGTTGGTCTGCTTCTTTACAGATTACTTGAGATTCTAGTTCCGATACAGGGCAATGCAGCAATGTGGCTTGTTTGGAAGGTACCTCTGATGGCTCCTGGAGATAATTGCAAGAAATTAGCAGAGAAAATTATATTCATCAAATATTATGCTCAAATATCATATAAGATTTTGCTAAATACCAAAGAGGTAGAATACCTGGGAGTCCAAATTCTCCAGGTCACCAGTAGAACCAACAACATTCAGCGAAGTGGGAGCTGATAATTCGTAGTGAGAAGGTTCAGAAAGGACAACCTTATCATCATCATTGGCATCCACAGCATTTGTAAGAACCGAAATTGAATCCATGGCAGTGTTAGCGGATGAGCCTGAGACCATAAGGCTGTGTTCAGATTGAGTATCCGCTTCCGTGTTCTGCTGTACTCGGTATGCGGTGATATGAAAATCTAGTGAAGTATCACTATTTTCCTCATTACTACTGCAACTACTAATTGGAAATTGAGACTTCTCAACATGGAATCGTTGATCGTTAGGCAACAGAGCTTCCTGCTGATTAAGATTGCCTTTTGCTGCCTTGCCTTTGCTCCACTTGGAACTGTCTTTTCGAATCACATACTTATCTCGGCAACAATTTTCATCGAGTGTGCTTATTCTAGGACTTCCAAAGTTTGAAAAAGTATGGACACGTCCATCCTTCCAACCATCTCTACTGCTAATCCCTAAAGGATCATTCCACACTGCTGGCCTAACATGATTACGAAACTCACTGCATCCTTCCTTACAAAAGCCACTACTGGAACTTACAGGACTTACTTCGTTTTCTGAGATGGCAAGCATTTCACCGAGTGTGCTTCCATTACTAAGCAAGTCTATCTCGTGAGGTCGATGTGTTAGTTTCCACCTCTCAGATAGTCTCTTCTTGGCCTCCCTAATAAGAGATGATTCACTAGAAAGGGATGATGACCACCTATGCTGCTTGTTCCAGCCAATGCTATCCGTGTAAGACCATGTTGTTACATCTGAATCATTTTCAGATTTAGACCCCGATACATCACATGAATTCGCATCCGCGAAATATCCTCTAAACCTGGAGGTCGAAATTTTCATTGAGCCATTGCTAAACCTATTTTTCATTTGTCTAGTAATCTCTCTGGCAATTTTCCTGGACTCTCTAGAATTATGCCTTGAAAAACCAATATCTTGGTGAACATTTTTCTCCCCCAGTAGTTCTGCCTCCTCATTTCGGATACCAAAACCTACAGAGTTTCCAGCACAACCGGATGGATAATGATGAGAAGAACAAGGAGAGGAAGTAGTTCTGGTAGTGCTATGTGACTGCGCAAGATTTGGTTTCAAGACAACAATTGTTGTGGGTACAATAGCTGGTCCGTTGTTCTCTGCTAATGGAACCTTAGGTACCTTGAGGCGACTGTGAGCAGTATATCTCCCATAAGATTGGCTCAAATAATCTTCTTGATGCTGCTGAGGGCATTTACTGTGGTGCTTCAATTGAGTTTCTCTCCCTGCTTGTTGGCCTAAGCAATCATTTCGATTTTTCAGAGTGTGTGATGACTTCATAGCTGATATTTGACCACAACGGGACTGGGGTGTAGCACCTTGCAGATCATCCAAATGCTTTCTGAATAATGAATCCGGTTTCCGAAGGAATTTCAGCCTAATATCCGTGCTCGAGTCGGCATCACTGAATTCCTCAGAACCCTTACTCTTTTCATCCTTTGAAAGACCTTTAGCTTCCATAAACTTCTGCTGGATAAAGGGCACTTCAACATCAGAAAGCATCGAATTCGCAGTCCCCTGTGACGAGTAACCACCGGTCTCCACTTTCGACGCATCTAATACTTCAGAAACATCTTTGAATTCTTGGTCATCATTCGATCTTTTCCTAGAAGATCGCCTGCTATAGAACACACCACTCTTTTGAACCTTCGGTCGACTGGTCTCCGTCCTTTTTCGCTGATTGTGGTGAGGCTTCTTAGGTGGTAGTCCATCAAGTCCCATTAATCTTGCTATAACACTTGGTGATCGTCTTCTGGATTCATTCTCTTTCGACATCTCTTCGGCCAACAACTTCTTCATTGGGATTCCAGTTGATTGCTTTGATGATCTCCAGCTCAACTGAAACCTTAACTGCAACAACCAGGACGTATCCAAATGAAAATTCGGAAAGTTAAAGAGAAAAATGTACAATGCTTAGAGGAATAGCTTATAATATAATACAGTAATGGACTCACCTGATCTTCCTCTATAGTATCACCACTGTAGGAAGATGGTTTTGGAAATTTCCGCTTCTTGTTACCTGGAAATGAATCCCAATAAAAGCATTATGACCAGCTAGCAACATAGAAAAACAAAATTAAAACAAGCAACTCATGATCCTAGAAAAACAAGCAAAATCATGTTGATTTTCAGATAGAAAAAGCAAAAAGGAGTTGCCTTTAATGAAAGCATAAGCCAAGGATAGAAGCGGGAACAGAAAAGTAAAAGTAAAAAAAAAAATGGGTTGTGTTTGGTAACTAAGAAAATGTAGGAAAACAAAAGTAAATATGAAAAAAGGGCTTTAAATCATCAACTTTTTATCTTTTTCTTTCCCCTGCTTGCCAAATGCAACAGAATAAAGTGTGTCATTCTTTTCTTTCTTTCTCTTTTTGAAAATGCAAAAGCAAACACGGAATCTAAAGGATTGCCTTTTAGGTAGGATTAATCAGAAACCAATTAACCAAAATCAATCGAAAAGTAAAACAGAAGAAGAAGAAGAAAAGAGAACAGAAACCTCCATAGGAAGCAGAGGCAGTTGAAGTGGAGAAGCTTCGTTGCCAAAACATATCCATTTTCGCTCTTTCGACAAACAAAAGCAAACGCTTTACATATAATGCAGAAGAAATGTAGCTGTGAAGAGAGAGAAATTATCCAAGCAAAACATGAAGGAAAAAGGAAAGAGAGAGAGAGGGGGGAGAGCGTGACAAGGGCGAGGAGCAATAAAGAGCGGCCCGTTAGAAAGCGTGGAGGACAGGTTACTGCGAAGAAGGAAGAGACCTCAAATTTGTTTAACATTCAAATAGTGTGAAAGCTGAAAGATATGAGCAAATTTGCAATGGTCATTTTCAACATTTATTGATATTTTTTATTTATTGTAATAGTGATCAGATCACTACAACTCTTATCTTTTTAGTGTTTACATTTAAAATATTATATTTTTATATTATTTTTCATATATTGTGTATCATTTTCATAGATAAAACTTTTTTAATATTACGATGATTTTTTTTTAATTTATTTAAATAAGGTGTATCAAAACAAATTCATGATATAAGATGATTGCTACAGTAATTGAAGAACTCGTTAGTATTACACGACGATTTCATGATCTCATCATGCATGCATGACGACTTCCCCACTTCCCCATTATGCAAACAATGCAGTTTGAACCCAAGGAACTTAACAAGTAATACAAAAAAGGAAAAATGTAAGATCATGAAATCATCATATAATCCAGACGAATTCTTCAATTACTATAACTATCGCCCTAGATCATAAAAAACATCTTATGCAAGTAATTTTTGTGACCATAATATTCAAATATTTTTGCCCATTTTTATGTCGATTAGGTAATATAATAAGATGAATTTGGTGTTATGTAATAGTAAGGAAAATGTCAAATCAAATATGATATGTTTCGATTTCACCAACCACTCACGCATATATTTCATCAAGGGCATGATTGGCTCTGAATACCTTTATTTCAGTGTATAAAAAAGCACCATAATAAGCAAAAGATAATTGTTGTCTCCGTCATTAAACAAAAAACGTTTTAAAGAGCTCCCAACCACACAATTATGAAAAAGGTAGTGTCTTGATTACCCTTTTCCAACCGTCTCTTAACTGATTTCTTTTTGGTACTTGGTGTTAACTTCGGTAGTTCTGCGGTGCGACGCCTAAAAAACGGTTAATATATGGCGTGACCGGTTAAACAAGTGACCGGTTAAAATTTAGATCGGTTATGTTATATTATTTAACCGGAAATATTATAAAGTACAATAACATACTAGGTAGCGCTTATATAATGTAATAGGTAGCGCTTATATTTACCTATTTTATAAGTAAACCGGTATATTTATACCGATAGCATTGCAAATTTACCTATTACATTATATTATATTGAAAGTGTCCATACTTTTTATAAAAAGGATCGATATTTCTTTTAAAGTTATGTAATTTATGTTTCAATTTTTTTTAATAGTGTTTCATGTTTTCCACCTACAATATTAATTTAATAATTTCATTTGCACAAAAAATTATTTGATTGTTTTTGATATTTTATAAAATATTATTTAGAATTTTTAATTTAATAATAATATATATCGTAACGAAAAAAATAAATCATTAGACGCCTATAATTACTAAATTAATATCTTAAAACTCACTCAAAAGATAACCTTAAATTAATGTTTTCCACAGTGAGCATTGCAAATTTACCTATTACATTATATTATATTGAAAGTGTCCATACTTTTTATAAAAAGGATCGATACTTCTTTTAAAGTTATGTAAGTTATGTTTCAATTTTTTTAATAGTGTTTCATGTTTTCCACTTACAATATTAATTTAATAATTTCATTTGCACAAAAAATTATTTGATTATTTTGATATTTTATAAAATAATATTTAGAATTTTTAATTTAATAATAATATATATCGTAACGAAAAAAATAAATCATTAGACGCCTATAATTACTAAATTAATATCTTAAAACTCACTCAAAAGATAACCTTAAATTAATGTTTTCCACAGTGAAAAAAGTATGGACACTTTTATAAAAAGGATAGACACTTTACAATATAACCACTACCTATTACATTATATAAACGATACCTATTACATTATATAAGCGCTACCTATTACATCATATGTTTACCTATTATATTGAAAGTGTCCATACTTTTTATAAAAATGATCGATACTTTTTTTTAAAAGTTATGTAATTTATGTTTCAATTTTTTTAACAGTGTTTCATGTTTTCCACCTACAATATTAATTTAATAATTTCATTTACACAAAAACTTATTTGATTGTTTTGATATTTTATAAAATATTATTTAGAATTTTTAATTTAATAATAATATATATCGTAACGTAAAAAATAAATCATTAGACGCCTATAATTACTAAATTAATATCTTAAAACTCACTCAAAGGATAACCTTAAGAACACTTGAAGAAGCAAGAGAACAACTATCCAAGCAATCAAAAACGAGAAAATCCCAACATGATAACAACTGAACATATCATATCAATGTTCAAACTCAAGTTGTAGATTTTGATTTCCTTTTGCTTGGCATCATATGAGATTTGGATTTTGATTTCCTTTTGCTTGGCACCATATGAGCTTTGGATTTTGATGAGCATCGGAAGTATTTCAGACTTATGATTTGGGTGGTACTCAACTTATGATTTTAGTTGCTATTTGTTACATTTCTTGTATACCACCCAGATCATACGCCCAAAACGTTTCTGACGCTTTAAAGTTGACCAAAAAATAAAATGGTCGGGATTTCCCTCGCGTTTATACGTTGGAAAAAAAACAATGGAAATTAGGAATAATCAATGATAACATGCATATTGGCTTGGGCTAATATTTATAGTGGAGCCGAAATATATATTGAAATTCAAACTCAAATTGAAATTTAAATTCAAACTCCAATTACATATGAAATGAATTTGAAATGCAGTGTTAAATTGAACATGAAAATTGCATAATTGATTCATACTGTTCAAGTAACATGCTTTATGAACCATCAAGCTAAAAGGCAATATTGATTGAGTTCAAAGCTGAGTTGTGAGTTGATGGAGTTGTCACACTTGTCACATGGTTGGAATAAAGTACTCACATGCGAGATAGATTGTTTTGTTATACATAACCCATCTCAACTGAATGAAAATATACATACAATATAATCAAACCAAAACATACTTACACAACAAATTTATATATAACAATGTTCAAATAATGTACCCACAAAAACGAAATTTCTGTTGTAACCGATGGGGATAGGGCAACGCAGAGGGCTATCAAATCTGTTATCCCTTATGCTAAGCACAGATTATGTTCTTGGCATCTTTCTCGCAATGCACAAGCTAACATTGGTGACCCAAAGTTTACAACAGCATTCTCAAAATGCATGGCTTCCTGGTGGACAACCAAGGAATTTGATATTCAATGGCGTTCGATTGTTTCAGAATTCAACGTCCAAAAGCATCCATGGGTGATTGAGAAGGGAAATACACGACACTTATGTGCACAAGCATATCTAACCGGTCATTTCTTTGCCAATATTCGCTCAACACAAAGGTGCGAGTCTATGAATGCTTCACTAGCTATTGCACTGAAACACAAGAAGACATATTTAGATGTTGTTCGTGCAATTGAAGATGGAATTAGTAGAATGCGTATGAACGAGTTGAAAGCGGATTACTTAAGTTCCCATATGAAGCCCTTCCAGATCACAAAACTGGTCGACCTTGAAAGCCATGCCGCTGCGATTTTTACCCGCGAATCTTTTCGTGTGTTCCAAGATGAACTTATACGGGAGACATTGTACCGGATTGAGGCAGAGATTAAGTCCTTATCAGATGAATGTCAACATTATATTTTGTCAAAGTACGCAGAAAAAAATAGGAAATTTGAAATTAGTTTTGATTCTCGTACGAAAACTCTAATTTGCTCCTGCAAAAAATTCGAGACCGTTGGACTTCCGTGTCACCATCAACTTCACATTTTGAAGCAATTGGACTACACATATTTGCCCGGGACTTTGATTCAAAGTAGGTGGACTAATGATGCGAAGGCTTCTGCACCCAGCTATGTTGATTTGAATGTGTCTCCAGAAGTGATGCAAATGGCAAGGTTCGCTGCTATACGTTCAACGTCAAGTAGGTTATGCTACATTGCATCAAAGACAGACGAGTCTTTCAAAACCGCAAGAGATGAGATGAAAAAACTAATAGAAGAATTAGAAAACTCGTTTGGTTTGAATCATTCAGTCAACCAGAGCATTGTAGTAAACAATGTTCGTGACCCTCAACGAAAACAACGCAAGCGAAAAGAAGTGCCGAAGAACAAGGTCGAGAAGAAAATTAGGCGATGTGGGTACTGCAACGGTGAGGGGCATAACAAACTAACATGTCCTCAAGTCAAGCTCAGTTTGAGTACAAGCACACAGCCTACATCAACTGATTTTTCGAAGACGGAATGGAATGACAACGATCTCCATATAATATATCGTAAGTATCAACATGACTCCTATTGTATGTACATATAAATATTTTGAATGAAGGAAGAAAAACCGCGTTACTTAAAATTACCGACACTTTTTTAAATGGTATCGACACATTTTTCTTCCAATCTGGACATAAAGTACCGACACAATATTATAAAGTGTCGATATAGGTTGTAGACCTATTCGCTCATAAAACCGGTATATTTATACCGGTTATATTACAAAATTATCTATTACATTATAAATCTGGGTTCCGATGTGTAAATGTCGATACTTTTTTAAATCGTATCGACACATTTTTCTTCCAATATGGACATAAAGTACCGACACAATATTAAAAAGTGTCGATATAGGTTGTAGACCTATTCGCGCATAAAACCGGTATATTTATACCGGTTATATTACAAAATTATCTATTACATTATAATTATGGGTTCCGATGTGTAAATGTCGACACTTTTTTAAATCGTATCGACACATTTTTCTTCCAATATGGACATAAAGTACCGACACAATATTAAAAAGTGTCGATATAGGTTGTAGACCTATTCGC